TGAAGGGTGGTATAAGAAACCAAGCTTGCTGGCTTATTACTCCTGGAGCATAATTTCTGTTAGACCCTCTCAGTGCTAACAGAGCCAAGAAGTATAAATGTGTGCTAATTGGCGTAGATCAACTGATCTATGACTTTGTTATAAATTTATATAGTCATGCATCTATTTCAAACTAAATGAGTTCATAATATCTAATTCTATAATTCTAATCCATTATGACATGGATCATTCTAGCCTCTGGTAGTTTCGTGTCTTGCATTTTTGTATATGGTAAGACAAAGATCTAGTTTTAATTTTTCTGTGTGTGGGTATTATTTTTCTGAACCTTATTTATAAAAAAGATTGTCCTTTCCCTAATGTGTATGCTTGGCACCTTTGATAAAAATCAGTTAGCTATAAGTCTATGGATTTATTTCTGGGCTTTCAATTCTGATCCATAGGTCTACGTGAGTGTTTTGATTCTAGTTGTATCCTATAGCTATATTCCAGCTGTATACTATAGCTTTACAGTAGATTTTGAAATCAAGTATGTGATGCCTCTAGCTTTGTTCTTTTTTCAAGATTTCTTTGGGGTTCAATATGAATTTTAGGATTTATTTTTCTATTATGGTGAAGAATGTCATTGGAATTTTGATTGGGACTGTGTTGAATCTGTAGATCATTTTGGGTAGAATGAGCACTTTAATATTAATCCTTACAAGCTATGATCATGGAATATCTTTTAATCCATTTGTGTCTTCAATTTCTTCCATTATAGTTTGCATTGTGGAAAACTTTAACTTTTTTGGTTAAATTTAATCTTTTATTATTATTATTATTATTATTATTTAGACAGGCAGAGTGAACAGTGAGAGAGAGAGAGAGAGAGAGAGACAGAAATTTACTCTTGCTTGGGAAAGCAATAGGAAAGTAGTGGAATATGGTCCAAGTGCTTGAGCCCCTGCACCTGTGTGGGAGACCTGGAAGAAGCTCCTGGTTCTTGGCTTCAGTATGGCCCAGTCCTGGCTGTTGTGGCCATTTGGGGAGTGAACAAATGGATGGAAGACCTCTCTGTCTCTCCCTCTCTGTACTCTGCCTTTCAAATAAATAAATAAATCTTTAAGGAAATAAAAGAAGAATCTCCAGGGTATTGGCTGTAAATACAAACTGCTAGAAAAATTATTCCTAAGTATTTTAAGTTTTATACAGCTATTGTAATGAGATTTTTTAAATTCCCAAGATACTTTATGATTAGTGTATAGAATGTTACCAATTTTTGTATGCTAATTTTGTATTTTGAAATTTCTCTGAGTACTTGAACTCTAGCAATGTGTGTGTATAAAATCTTTAGAATTTTCTACATATATATATGATCATATCTGTGAGCAGAGATAATTTTACTTCTTTCCAATTTGGATGCTTTTATTTTCTTTTTTTTGCATAATGGCTCTTGCTAGTACTTTCAGTACTATATGAATAGACATGGTGAGAGTGGGCATATTTGTTTTATTCCTGATCTTAGAGGAAAAACGTAGTTTTTCACCACTAAGTATCTTTACATGTTTAGTATGCTTCTTCCATGAAGCCCTGGATGTTTCTTTGTTAATTATTGATTCAACCTCCTTACTAGTTATAGATCTCTTCAGATTCTCATGATTCAGTTTTTAAGATTTATTTATTTATTTGAGTTACACAGAGACATTTGAGGCAGAGAGAGAGAGAGAGAGAGAGAGAGAGAGAGAGAGGTCTTCCATCTGATGGTTTACTCCCCAAGTGGCTGCACCAGCTGGAGCTGCGCAGATCTGAAGCTAAGAGCCAGGAGCTTCTTCCAGGTCTCCAAAATGGGTGCAGGGGCCCAGGGACTTGGGCCATCTTCTACTGCTTTCCCAGGCCATAGCAGAGAGCTGGGTCAGAAGTGGAGCAGCTGGGACTCGAACTGGCGTCCATATGGGATGCGGGCACTGCAGGTGGTGGTCCCAATGATGCATTCACCTCTGTGGGTTTTATGTTTTTTAGAATGTCTTCACTTGTTTCAGTGTAGTTGTTGCCATGTAATTGTTCATAGTGTTCTCAGCTTCCTTTACTTCGTGATCTCAGTTAAAATATCTTCTGTTTGATTTCTGATTTTATTTGAATTTTCTCTGTTTTTTCCTTAGTCTACCGAAAATCTTGTCAATTTTGCTGATTTTTAAAAAATTACTTCATTGAAGCCAGCGCCGCGGCTCACTAGGCTAATCCTCCACCTTGCGGCACCGGCACACCAGGTTCTAGTCCTGGTCGGGGCGCCGGATTCTGTCCCGGTTGCCCCTCTTCCAGGCCAGCTCTCTGCTGTGGCCCGGGAAGGCAGTGGAGGATGGCCGAAGGGCTTGGGCCCTGCACCCCATGGGAGACCAGGAGAAGTACCTGGCTCCTGCCTTCGGATCAGTGCGGTGCGCCGGCCACAGTGTGCCAGCCGTGGCGGCCATTGGAGGGTGAACCAACGGCAAAAGGAAGACCTTTCTCTCTGTCTCTCTCTCTCACTATCCACTCTGCCTGCCCCCCCCAAAAAAATTACTTCATTGATTTATCTCTTTTTTCTACTATTTTCTTTATTATGCTCCAATTTTTATTATTTCTTAACTTTGGGCTTAGTTTTTTCTTCTTTTTCTAGTTCCTTGGCATATGAAGAGGTTTTTAAAAAATATTTTTCTTTAATGTTTGTGTTTATAGCTATAAAGTTCCTGTAGAACTGCCTTTGCTGTATGACTTAAGTTTTGATATGTCATGTTTTCATTTTCATTTGTTTCAAGATGCTTTCTAATTTCCCTTTTGATTTCTTCCTTTACTCATTGGTTGTTGAGGAATGTCTCCTTTAATTTCCATGTGTTTGTCAATTTTTCAGTTTTCCTTTTGCCATTGATTTCTAATTTAATTCCATTATGGTCTGAAAATTCACTTGTGATTTCAGGCTTTCTAGAATATCTACCCTGGAGGATGTGCCATGTGCTTTGGGCAAGTGTGTGTATTGTTCCACTGCTGTTGGCATGTTCTGCAAATATCAGTGAGGCCCCTGGGGTCTATAATGTTGTTTATCCTGCTGTTTCCCTAGGTATTTACTGTCTGGATCGTCTATATAGTACTGAAAGGAAGGATTCTGAAATCTATGATTGTGTTACTCTTCGTTTTTCCCTCCAGTTCTATAAATGTTTGGTTTATATATTCGGGTACTCTGATATTCTATGCATGTATTAATTTGTTTATCTTCCTGGTGAATTAACCTTTACATCAATATATAATATCCTTTGTCTCTTTCTGTAGGTGTGTTGTCATGAGTAAATTCACAAGTAGATGATTATGGTTCCTTTATTAAGAATTCATAATCTCTTGTTCTCTCTGGTGTCTGTTTGTGGTACTGCAGATTCTCAGGAGCTGCATCAAACTATCACACTTTTGTTCTCAGCAATCCCTAGGCTTCTAGAGTATTCTAGGTCATGGCAGTGCTCCAAGTCAGACAGTCCCTTAAAACATCAGACAGATGCTCTACTCTTCTAGGATCCTCTTCCAGGATAGAGGGAGAGGCTGTGGAGCTGTGGCAGCCTCTCTGCTCTGCAGCCCCATCTTCTCAGCATCCACTGGTCTTCTAGTGCATGCCACATCTTCCCAGTACTCTGAGACAAGGGCCTATCACTTGGAAAATCACTAAAGCCAAAATGTTGGGTTCATGCTCCAATTCTTTCCTTTCCCTGGGAGAAGCTAGGAGTTGGGGGTTTTCTCATCCTGGTTCCGTGCTGACCTGGGTTGGGAGTAGACTATGGCTGGCGAATGCCATGGATTTTCCTACCAAAGATGCAGTTGGTAAATGGAAATACCTCTTAATTGACTTCACTAAAGGAATCGGTCTATGTACTGTTGACTCGGTATCTCAGAAGCAGGGGAGGGAAAGGAGAGCCAGGCCACAGTTCTGCTGGTATCACCCAACTTTGCATTTCTAGCCACATGAATGAGTTTCTGCTGCTGTGTTTTCAGCAGCATCTGGCGTGGTCTGTTTTTGAGATGGTAGCCATCTGAGAGGTTTACTGGTATCTTATTCTTATTTGCAATTCCCTAGTAATGTACAGTGTTGAGCATTTTTCATGTGCATGTTTTCTATCTGTACATCTGCTTTGGCAAGGTGTCTTTTCAGATGTTTTGTTCATTTTTAATTGTTGTATTGTTAAGTTTTTAGAGTTCTTTGTATTTTGGACACAGGTCTTAATGGAATGGATGTTTTGCAGATATTTTCTTCCTGTCTACAGCTTGTCTTTTCAGTCTGTTAACTATGTTTTTTGAAGAGCTGAAGTTTTAAATTTTGACGATCTTCAATTGCTTAGTTCTTTTTATGATCATCCTTTTGTTGTTATTTCCAAAGAATCATTGTCTAATCCAAATTAACAACAATTATCTCCCATGTTAGAAGCTTAACTTGATAGCTGCAGACTCTTGAAAGGTATAGGATTCAGGTGGTGGATATGTTGAAAAATTTTCAGAATAATCCAGCTAGTTAAAAGAAATGATACAATGAACTCAAATGCAAAATAACTTGGATACCAGTGATAGTACAGATACACCGCACCAACACGTATTTTCACTGCTGTCCAGAGGAGAAGCCTTTTGCATGCTAGCATATGACAAAATCTCTTAGCCAATTCTCTCTGGGCATTTGCACTCTCACTTTGATGTGTTGCAAATGCATAGATGAGCTGGTTTGTCCCAATCTCCTTTATTTAGTTTGTCTCATCTATATTGTGATTTCTCTGAGCCTGGGAAGGTTTGTTTGGTATTTCTATTACCCTAGTCTTTTCCCACTGCCTTTGCAAGGTTACCATCAAATGCTTGCTGAATTAATAAACACTTCATTTTCCTTTGCCTGCTACACACGTATTTTGCTCAAGCGTCTTATTGACATAGCAAATCCTAAAAAAATTACATATGTATTTGTTCCTTTCTGAATTTAAATAATACGACTATTTATTTCTCCCATTGTGTAACATGGTCTTCTGCAGCCAGCATGGAACGCTTCAACAAATAACTCTGCAGGCCGAGACTCAGCTGATAAAACGGTGATTGCCACTTACTTTGTTTGCTGGAAGTTAAAGTCATCCCTGGGCTGGAACTTAGACTTCTGTTGAAAAGCTATTCCACTGACCACCAATTAATGGATAAATAAGTTCACACCTTTAGTCTGTTCAGTGTTTTATTGTCAACGCATTCTTTCTGAAGGGAGGAAATGAGTTTGTACGTTGGGGTTCTTCCAATGAGGAAAGACTGACAAGTAGGTCATCTCTAGTATTCATATTTACAGTGGAGATTTTAGAAGAAATGTGACACAATGTACTTCACAAATAAATGGATTCAGTTTTAGGAATCATTTTTGAATACAAGGAGACTGTTCATTTCTTCTGTTTCTAATACATAAACACTCCATATGTTCAAATGTTTGTAAGGCGTGTTATCTTAAAGAATATTTTTTAAAAAATCAAAGTGATACAGAAACAAAGTCCTGAAAAGTGCTGGTATTTTTTTTTTTTACAATTGTTGGATAATCCTGCCAAGAATTTCTTCCAAATAAAGGGATTTAACTTTGTATTAAATTTTACAATAAAAGCTCTCAAATGATAGATTCACAATTCTAAACATTTTTAAGGATTATAAAAAGATATGCCTGAAATCTTATATGTGTTGAAATAGAGTACAAAGTAAGCTTTTTATATGTAGGCATTTTTAATTAAAAAATGTTTTATTTGTGTTTTCAGAATAAACAAGCTAACAGAAATTGTACATATTTACAGCAATAAACTACATTTCAGAAGCTGCACAAGGACTTTTAAAGTACAGCTGACGGTTTTTGACACCAGCCTTTCAAATATTTCTTTCTTTCATTTGCTGTAACATTTAAAATCTTAAAGTACCAAAGCAAAGCAAACAGCAACTTATTTGATAGCAAAGCCACCCTATTAACAAAAAATATTGAGTGAAGTTCAGTCCTGTGACCATAAGGGTATTTGAGAGTCCTGAAATCTAGAGCACAAGCGTTTCTTGTGTCCGTACCTGATTGCGAGTAAATTGTTTCTGCATTTTACAAGAATACACAATTACTCCATGAATGATAAGGAATAGAAAAAAGGCCATGAAAGGTAAAAGGGTCAGGAATCAGAGGCCACTGAACAGTTTCTTATGCACTGATTCACTGTTTAGAGGGACATCTATTTCTTCTTTCATGTGTATAAATCACAGTCTACAGGCTTCATGGATTTTGTCCGCAGATAGCTTTTGAGATAATGAAGGCATAATGTCACATACTTTCAGCACATAAAAAGAAACTGATGAAACAATTAGAATATTTTAATCAAATCCCTAACAGAAAGGGTACAAACAAGCACACACTGTATGAAAGTCTGATTTCAAATGTAGAAAGCAACTACAGAAAATCACAAGCATCATTATAACAGCAGTTTCAATCAGAAAATGCAGCATATACTGATACAAAATAGAAAACTTGAATTATAAAAGTCAGGAATACACCTTTTTCTTTCTTGTAAAACCTGTTCCATTTCAAATTTCTACAGGTTTACAGAAATACTCATTCTTGCCATTTGGCTTCTTTCGTGGTCTGGAAGTATACAAAAGTATTACCTGCTTATGTAAGAAAGCAAATGCTTATGTTAAAAGAGCATTCAAATATTGTAATTTATGTTTTGTTGCAATGAAAAAAGTTTTGCCTTCTGAAAAGTGAAGAGAAAGGGACTCTTGTTTACAATAACTGTGTAATACCAATCAGAATATGAGTTAGCTAAATCACATTTGATAGGAGGATAGATAGCAAATTGATTGGTGGAGATTTAAAAACACAAGGAATAAAACATTCAATATCATCTAGCGTATTTGGTGAGTTTAGCATAATGGATTTTGAGAGGCAAAAGAGGATATGCATTTCTTTCCATACGTATGTAGCACCTGCTTTGAAAACCACAGCTATTAGTACAGGATGCTATGACTTACGATAGCAAGAGACTGGTTTGCAAAGTTTAGTTAAGTTTTGGATTTAATTAAGTTTTAGGTGAAGTGGTAGCCAAAGAGGTGTTCCTTTGCTGGCAGAATAGTAATTTCCTATTCTTCAGCCTAATGAGTCCTGCTCTCCCATGCCTCCCAGATCACCGCATACAGTTCTTTGCCTCAGGATCAGTCCCCTTGAGTAAAGTCAAGAGGAGTGAAACAGTAAGAGATGGCAGGTAGCCGGAACTTTCCAAGCAAGCCACCCTCAACCCAGATTCTATTCTGTCTAAAACAGTTTTATATGTATTTGAACAATATGCATATTGAACTTTCCAATTTTAATTTCCATCAACATTTTCAATGACACAAGATTATTTCACATTAGCCATTAGGCTCCCATCCCAAAGACACAAAATGCTGCCTGGTGGTCAAGAATAAAATGTATCTAGAAATGCCAAAGATTTTTGGTCCTAGTAAACAGCTGTACCACTTGGAATTTCTGAAACTCACATGCAATCTTGATTTTGTAATAGGGCCACATTTGTTTTTATCAAGAAGAATATTGGTCCTCTTTAAAATTGTTGAGCAACATAATCAATCAACATAGGTGAATAGAATCATGAGCATTCCCTTCTTAGAAGAGAGATGGGTGTTCTGAATAGGAAAGATCACTAGGGTATATAATTCCATTTTCCATGACATTTAAGTGAGAATAATCAAGAGGCTTCCTTATAATCATCTTAGGGGCATTGTTGCAAAACATAACATATTTCAAGCTTTATCCAGTGAGTATTTCAAAAAGATGTAGGAAACATATTGATAATGGATTGATTAAAAAAGAAAATGCAGATAAACTGTAATTCAATGTATTGGGGAATACAAGTAGAAAAATATGTTATCTAGTAAAAGTGTGGTGGCTGGTTGCCACTCTGAGGTAAGGCTTGCAAATTATATATTTCTGTTATTAAATAAGTAAATACTATACCTAACAGGAGAATAGGAATGTTTACAGTTGAAAGGGAGAGGGACAGAAAAGGCATTTCCCTGTATATCTTTTTATTTTTTTTTCAGGCTTGAGAAGCAATGACGAATGTCAAGAACTTTCTGTCTCTCCTAGATAATTCAAAGCCTTATTTTTATTTCTTAGCAGAAAAACAATTTGGTGTGCAATATACTCTGGGAAAATTCTCTCAGAGTTCACATTGGAGTATACCATCAGTAATGCAAAGCATTAAGAATAAAGCTTCAAGCATAAACACCCCACAGAACCTAGACCAAAAGGTTTTTAATAAGGCAAACATAAATAGGGAGAAAATGAAAATGTAAAAGGAAAATTTCCTTTTTTTTCCATAAAGGAAAAGCAGTAGTAATTAGTATAGAAAGTTAGATTCTGCTAGAACTGGTGGGATCCAGAATGGTGATCGTATCAGGCAGGATTCAGCCTTGATAGTCATATTTATGGGGAAAAAACCACAATGACCACTATGCCTGACCCCAACCTGGCTTAAGTGTAACTTTGACTTTCTTAGTCATTTAGAAGTTGTAGGAGTAGGCTCTGGGGGACTAGCATGAGATAGAGTATAGGAGTCACCTGTCCCCACACTGTATTATCTATAACCCCAAGATATTGCCTATTATGCGTGTTTCCCTATTGTCACATTTACTATTGTAGGTCATTTTATCTGCATTTATAGACTCTACCATGGACAGAATAATAGGTGCTCTGAATAATACAGGGTGATTAGAAAGTGGAGCATTTACTCTTAAGTACCTTACACTTTATTTAGAGAGGCAGATATATATCTACAGAGCTACTGGAAATATACAATATTATATGTATGTATATATATATGAGAAAGAGGCCACAAGGATTGGGTATTAATGGGATGCAGGAGGGCATTTCTTGATGGTTTTTGGATGACATTGACTTGATCCATAAACTGCTACTGGGTTGAGTTAGGAAGAATATCTGACGGTCAGTGATTTAAATATAAGACTTCAAGAACAGCATAGGAATGTTTGGAGATGATCAGTGGCTATGGGAGTGGGAGAACAATGAGAAGGCGAGCAGAGGTGGTGGAGAAGACTGTGGTCAAAGTTAACAGTAAGCTATTCATATGACCCAAGATAGATCTTATCCAACATGTTCACATTAAATTTATGGATATTTCCCATATCCTTTATGTTGCTGAGCCCCCATAATTAGGGTGACTGTACGATTTACTCAAGTACACAGTGTGAGAGTGAGAGAGAGTTCTGTTAATTATTGTAAACTGGGACTGTCTCAGGCAGACTGCATCTTATATTCCCCTAATGAAATGTTAACCAAGGCCGGTGCCGCGGCTCACTAGGCTAATCCTCCGCCTTGCAGCGCCAGCGCACTGGGTTCTAGTCCCGGTCGGGGTGCCGGATTCTGTCCCAGTTGCCCCTCTTCCAGGCCAGCTCTCTGCTGTGGCCAGGGAGTGCAGTGGAGGATGGCCCAAGTGCTTGGGCCCTGCACCCTATGGGAGACCAGGAGAAGTACCTGGCTCCTGCCTTCGGATCAGCGCGGTGCACCGGCTGCAGCACGCCAGCCGTGGCGGCCACTGGAGGGTGAACCAATGGCAAAAGGAAGACCTTTCTCTCTGTCTCTCTCTCTCACTGTCCACTCTGCCTGTCAAAAACAAACAAACAAAAAGAAATGTTAACCAAAAAGAACTGGGGTACATTTTGGGCTATTCTGTTGTCTTGTAAACTTTCCTTCTACATTTTTTCTCAAGAGGATAGAAAAAGGGTTTTGAGTATGGGATCAGGAGAGAGGATAGAGCAGAGAGGAAAAATTGAAACCAAAACTGGACACAGAGCACACACCAGGCATGGTACATAGCTTTGGGAGTGGGAACTATTCCTATGCTTTCTACTCTCCACTCACCTTCATGCTCAAATCTGGATTACAGAGTTAAAAAGAATTCAATCTAGGCAGTGTAGTAGATGGAAAAAGCTTTGGCTTTTGAGCCATGAAAAGCCAGGATCGAATATTTACTCCATCAGTAACTACTGGATTTTGTATAAGGTATTTAACCTATTTCAGCTTCTATCTGCAGATAGTGGAATGGTGACCATAACTTCACAGTGTTGTGGCAAAGATGAAAGTATGAAGTTATGCATGGGGCAGTGTTTTCTGACACTACAGACCAATACGTGACCGTCACTGTTGGATGTCTACCCAAGAGCCATTTTCTTTTGTTTCTTAATTTGTCTATGCATTGGGCAGTTATAGGTGGTGGTGCTGTCAATGTTGCAAGGCAATCATGATCATTCTACTCCTCTTGTTAGTGACTGGCCCCGGAATAATGTGTAACCTTAAGCCTACCCATAAACAGAGGGAAGTCTGCTGGGGACACTTTGGGGAAGATTTCCTTGCTCTGACAAAAAGATCACAGGTAGGATTTATTCTTGTTTCTTCCTCTTAATACAGAGATGTGAGGAGTGTGTATAAACTACAATAGGTACTACCAGCCTGCAGAAGAAGGGAGAACTGACTATAAAAGGGACCTGGATCCTTGGTTATATCATCATGCTATTAAAATTAACCAACTTACAAATGACCCTTCTTCTGTATTTGCATGAGGTAATAATAATTTTAATGTAGAAGTTACTTTTGGCTGCATCTTTTGCTACTTGACCTGAACGAATATTAACTGATAAACATGCTACTAATTATTTACCTCATCTGAGTCAGAATTCAAACACTTAGTTTCCTCTCCTAAGTCTTCAAAAGGAGTCATTCGGCTTCTGAATGGGATTATGTGTCCTCAAAAAGATAACATTAAATATGAAGCTATCTAGATAAAAAGGATGGGATACTAGAAAAATACAACTCACTATTTTGAGAGAAGCAATGAGTGCACTTGGAGATGGGGAGGTTACAACAAAGGTCTTTATAAGATGCTTGAGGTTGAGAAGAAGAATACTAAATGAACTTTACAAACAAGAGACTGTCCCATTCATGGACAGCCAACAATGGAAAAAAGGAATTTCTTGGCACTTTCCTACAACTTTGATCAGGAGGCTCTCAAGAGAATCATGGATGTCTAAGTTTCAAAGGATTTTTTTAAAAAGGAGGAAAAATTGGTTAAGAACATCTAGTTGCAGAAATCACATTGGGGACTATGTTCAGAGAATGAAATGGCAAGAATATTTCAAGAATATTAACAGCTAGGAATGCTAATCACAATTTAACAAGTAAGCTTTCAGTTTTGTCATGGTTGTTCCTAAAAGTTTGGCAGATTTACCCAGTTCAATTGACGTTAAGGGAAGATACAGGGAGTAGAGCAGAGAGAGCAGAGAGCAGAGGTTCTAACTACATGTATGATCCCAATTAGACAAGAAGCTGTTTCTTGCCCGAGAGCTCCACCACATCTGCTCTTCCACTTTCAGAACACAGAGAGCAATAGCTCCAGGACTAGGCAGGGCACGGCAGCAGTATTTGGGCTCAGATGCAGCCTAGAAATTGGCTTTTCCACCCATGAAGGAGTGTGTCATGGCTTTTTCCTGACAATTATAGAGAATGCTTTAAGGATATCCACATCTTCCAGTGATATAAAAATAAAGACCAGATCACAGTGATTTGTGTTATCTGAGACTGTCTGAAATATGGTCTTATGAGGGGTCTTCAAAAAGTCCATGGAAAAGCTATGTTTGGACTTCAAAATTATTTGCACTAATATAAAAGTGTTTTTTAATTCCATTTACCATGAACTTTTAAAAATAGTGTAGAGCATTACTAAAGTAGTGAAATATTTTTGCAACTTTCTTGTAAATGTGACTGCATATTCCTTACATTTTAAAAGAATATGAACAAGTATTGAATTCAATTCACTTGACACCAGATGGCTTATTCTCAAAAGCATGCTATGAGGATTCTTACTAAACTTGAGGGGCTATGATCGCTCCTGTGTTTTCTTGCTAACCTCTCCTACAACCGGACCTCTTTAAAATTACCTTTGAAATTCAGTTCTGCAAGAGAACTTGATGTCAACTGCAGCTTGACCAAAGTCACATACCTGGGCAGGGGCAGAAGATAACAAAACCAAAGCCTCAGTCCTAATTGAACTGCTTATTTATTCTAATAACATTTCCCTCTCTTCACCATGTAGCTCATTGATTTTTAGCTTTTCAAAGTTAGGCTGTGCCTTGTTTGCCATATATGTAGAGAACTCTGTATCTCTAAATCTGTAGACATATTTTCTGGAGGAAACGTGTTATAAACATTATAAACATTGGGGCAAATTAGAGAGTTTGCACTGTGAACCATCTGACTATAAATCATATTTTAGATATTCTAGAAGCCAAAGGGTAGGTGGGTAGGATGATGTGTAGAAGTAGAAATCTGTAATAGGAATAAGATACAGGAAGGATGAAGTGGGTCAAGTTCCTGAAGGGTAGTCTGTAATGAGTAGTGCTACTTAAATGATAAGCTCTGCTGGGAGCAATAGCAAAGCAATTTAAAGTGGTCTGTGATTAATATTGAAACAGGACATGAATAAGTAATTCTGATGAATTGATACAGTGTGAGTTCATCATATTACTACTGTAATGTAAGGAGATGGCCTTATTTTCAAGCTTTGGTAAATATAATGTCATTTTCCATGTTTTTGAGGTAATGATTTTTATTAATGTTCTTCTTTGAAATAGTATGGAAAATAGGAGGATGATGTGAATATATGTAACTCTAAAGAAGGAAGAAAAGAAATAGAGCAATAACCTAAGGTTGTTCAGAGGAGGCTACTATGATTACACAATCTGCCCACAAAGTTCTTCTCAAGGGCCCTTTTCCTTTGGGGAAAATTATTATAGTTTGTTGATTTTGTGAATTCATTGAAGATACGCAATATAAGTCCAAAGAAGTTAAAGCTTTCTGCTGCTCATGGAACAGACAGTTTATGAGGTTTGGAGGTAAGAAAGAGGAAAAAAGTAAAGGAATCAGTCTCATTGGCTTAATGTGAGGCAGGATTGATTGTATACAGTACTGGAAGGAATGAGGACAGCAAAGGCAATCTATTTTACAGAACCCAAACTTGCAAACAGTATACTCATATTTAATAACTTTAATAATTATATTGGGAAATCTCTCCCCTTTCCTATTTGTCTTATAATAAGGCCTGGGGAAGAAACAGGAGCTGGGAAACAATACTGACTGCTTTGGTTTCCAAATGGGGATATTTTAAGTTACTGAATCTGTGACCCTGTATACCTAAGGTAAATGAATAATGTTATTTGGCTTCTCTTCATTATTTTCTTTGATCTATATTCCATTGTCTGCAGGACAGGGAATGCAGACTGGATTGCTCAGAAGAATGGATTTCTTTTCCAACAAGTTCAGAAATACAACTACTGTTCCCACCTGACTTCTGACTCGGGCCTTTATGATGAGTGCTGGTTGCTCAAAGACATAACAGACATCCAGGGATTAATCAGAAACGGTTCTGAGCACCTTGACATACCAAGTACTTTTTACTCAGGAAAAACCCAAAACCAAGCACACACACAAAAATGCCCAAACAACTCTTAGATCCCTTCCACTCAAATAGGAAACTGTTTTAGAAACACTAATAAAACTCTTCAAACTTATCGTTCTGTGAACTTAGTACCTTCTATTTTAGATGCTCTAATAAAGATTTCATTTCTAATTCTTGTCTATGAAACTGCAGCCTCTGACAATTAAGTTTTCTATTGGTTTAATTGATTTTGGTTATCTAAAAAAAAAGAAAAAGAGTTTTAGGAGAAACCCACTGTATTTTAAACCTAGCAGTTGACTGAGTTGATTAGTTCAAACAAGATTTTTTTCTTATTCAACTGATGGTGAACTTTAGTTGGCACATTTTGGAACCAAAACATCTCACTTTGATGGATTCCTATGCTACATTCTCCTGGCACTTAAAAGGTTGGCACTAAGAGACCTACTTTGCTAAATTCTTACCTCTAAGAAAGATACTATTCCCTCTAAAACATCCCTAAGAGGCCAATCTATAACCCTGCCTGCTTGGATATTCTGGATTTTTGTGGACACCATCACCCTCTTCATCACCATCTGATATGAAAACACAACTTATGGTATCATATCCCACCATTCTGAAGACTTTTTCAAGGATACCAATACTTGGGAGAAATATATATGAAAACACTTAACTACTAGGTTCTTTTTACAGCTTAACTAGCATATATGACACATATCTCCATGCCTAGTTGAAGAATACCTTATTTCCAGACAATTTATTCCAATATTTCTCTTTACCTTAAAAAAAGGTCACAGTTACTTCTTTATCTTTTGGGAATGAATCAGTCAGTTGTTGGTATTAAAGGTGTTTGCCAGCTATTCCTATTATCTGTCCTATTATTTGGACACTTGACTATTTACCCTGACCACGCCCATCCCTTCTATTCATTTTTATTCTTTCTAGAAGTTCTGGGAAACACTATGCAAGAAGTTAAAAGCTAAAGCTACTGGTGCAAATGAAACTTTGAATTACCTGTGGATTTTGAGCCTCTCTTCCATTCCTGACCCCCTGAACAGAATGGAGAATTCAGTTTCTGAATACATAAGTAATTACACACGAGTGATTAAAAACATGTCAACTTTTCATAGCACGGCTCAAGAAGCAGCTTGCTGCAGTTCCCGTTTCTGCTGGTGTGCTGTTCCTGAACCCTGGAGGCTCTCAGCCTTGTCAGCAGCAGCTGCTGTCCCTTCCAGTGGAGTAGGAGCATGAGGCAGTGATCACAGACACCAGGCTATGGCTGGCAGCAGAATTACACAACTGCACACACAGAACAGCAGAGAAAGCAAGAGCTAAAAAGATTCTGGTTTGGGTCCAAATCACTAGCCATTTCACTTCATTAATGAAAGCAAATGCTTTATAAGCTTACATTATTTACAATGCTCAGAGTTTTCAAACATCCACCCAAAGCTGAGGACCACCACGCAACAGGGAACAATTCAGTGCACTATGTACAGAATTTACAAGGAAGTTTACATAATATTCTACATTCTGTTAACAAAATTTACTGCTTGCTTTCAGGAAACAGATAATTTTGTTTGTTTTTCTGTCCTTCTCAGCCCAGTAACTGTTGATTGAACCAACATGAGCAAATGTTTGCACGTTTCTTTTGCTTCCCTCGTGGAATATAAGAGTTTACTTTCCTTAGGGAAAAAAAATGGTGGCACATCATCCTTTGGTAATATAGGAATCAAAATTGTCCATATAAGAAATCTTGGAGATTATTTCTTTCTAGAAGCATTTTACATATATCTTTTGTTTAACTTGGAAAATTGTAATTGAAGTCATTCTTAAATGAACATTTACAAAATAGCTGTCAGTTATAGAAAGATGGGATTTAGTCAATATTTCTACTATTGTACATGATTTTTTTTAAGGAAAGCCTATGGCTGGGCCCTTGAACTAAAGTTTATTCTCTGCACTACATGTTTCTCTTTGCATTTTCAAGATCTTTTGTGATGCCCATTCATGAGGGTTTGGATGGAAACACACATCTGCCAGTCAGCAGATTACCATTTTGTTGTTTCTATTTGGCAACACGGAGGATGGAGGCAATGAGCCTGGAAAATTCAATCCAAAAGCATGCTTTTACTTGGGTCTTTGCTGGTAACGGTAACATACAAGTCACCTCTGATATTTTAAGCCAAAGGATATGAATGGAAGGAATGACTGTGCAGTCATTACAGTAAAGTGAAAGATGAGATTTCCACTGGGTCTGCACAGGTTAAGTTGTAACACAGTTTATGTCACAGTGTAGAAACATAGGGTTCCTTGGACATGACTGTGGCATGAGAGAGTGAGTCTGTGCAATTTTCAGCCTCTGCTACCATTTAAGTAATGCAAGCATTATGGCTATTTTCATGGCAAAAAAAAAAAAAAAAAAAGAATCCAATAACAGTTAAATAATGATCCCTTTATAAGGTAATACTTTGAATCTTTCAAGAATAGGGGACAGTTTGTGGGCACTTAAGAATGTCTAATTCTTTCTATGTTGCGGGTACATCATTTTGGGCAAGATGGGGTAGACATCAGAGAAGGAAGGATTTTTTTCCATGTACTGTTTAACATTGAAAGGGAGGATTTGGCCAAAAGGAGGCACACAGTGGGAAGAATTTAGGAGATGTTCAGAAGAAGGAAGTGGAGACAAAAGTCATTAAACAGAAAGTGGCGGCTACTTCATTCTTCTGGTTGCCATTACTTCTAAAATCACAGCTACTTGACAGGATTTGCATAACGATGGCTGTGACCTATCTACTGCCCAGGAGGGCATATGGTGATATGAGTTAAAGGATTATAGATTTTACGCAGGTTAAAGCATTAGAGCTCAAAATATTCTTTCTCTCTCAGAAGATGTTTCTCATCTAAAACTACAACATCAAAATGTTTAGATTTTAAAGGCAAGATAAAAAATAATAAAAATACAAATTACTCAATATTTGCTTAGAATGGTCTAAACTGATAAAGAGAAGTTGTTTTGTTAAGGAACCTAGATCAAAGACATTTCCTTTCTGATTTAAATGCTTTTTAAAGAGCTTTGACATCAGAATGATTCATTTCTGTTCAGCACCAGCCAAAAATTTTCCTCCCTGCATTTAAAATAAATAAATGGCTGCACAGTGATTCCTGGGTGGCCATTGGTAACATTAACCTTACAATCACCAAGATGGCCATATTCCACTATATTTGGGCATTTAATGATAGCAAAGCATATCACCCTGCCAAGGGACTGAACAGTTTCAAAACACATGACTACATGTTTGGAGGATGAGATTTCCTTGACCAAGGAAGTGTAGCAAAACACTGAAAACCTAAATGGAAATTTGGTTCCAATAACTCTACTAGTTTCTCTTGAAACCACGGAGATAATTTTTCCAGTTAAAGCACAATTCATATTCTTAAGAATGTATTTTGTCTTCATTAGTAACTATGTGTTTTAGAGTTCACTTTTCCCACTTCTCTCTAGCAGGGTATCTCATAACTCTCTCTTCTTGGGCTCATCATCTGCTTGATCTTTCCAATTAAATCTGTAAGTTCTAGCAGCAGATGCTGTTGTTAACCTAGGCTCACATCACAGCCTTAGGGAGAAAGCCAGGTCATCCAGTGAGACAATCATCCCAATTACTTTAACATTTATTTCACATCCGTAGAGTAGGTTCCCAGTTACCTCCATCCTTAGTTGGACAATTTAGGGTTTAATTCAGTCTTTTTTTTTGACAGGCAGAGTGGACAGTGAGAGAGAGAGAGAGAGAGAGAGAGAAAGGTCTTCCTTTGCCGTTGGTTCACCCTCCAATGGCTGCCGCGGCCGGCGCACAGCGCTGATCCGAAGGCAGGAGCCAGGTGCTTCTCCTGGTCTCCCATGGGGTGCAGGGCCCAAGTACTTGGGCCATCCTCCACTGCACTCTCTGGCCACAGCAGAGAGCTGGCCTGGAAGAGGGGCAACCGGAACAGAATCCGCCGCCCCGACCGGGACTAGAACCCTGTGTGCCGGCACCGCAAGGCGGAGGATTAGCCTATTGAGCCACAGCGCAGGCCTTAATTCAGTCTTAAAAATGAACATATAGAATTCTTAGATACTCAGTCTGAAAAAAAGGCTGTGAGATTTTAATGGCATAAAATGAGAAGACTCTCAACTAGCTGGTTGAATATGCTTAGTACTGTGTGTCTTGCTACTGAAGGTCATGAGAACCATGACCAAATTAACCCATGAGCAGAGATAAGGCAGTGCAGTAATGACAGTGATCTCTAAGTGTAGGCAGGGTCTATTCCTCAAGGGCTGGTGTACAAGTTTGGAGGCCCAGTGCCTTTGTCACTGTTGTTTTATCTGTGGACTCTGGGAGAATGACACCACAAGCACACATGCATTTCTTGAAATGTTCACGCCACAGTTTGGAATGCAGAGCTCAGAGAGCAGAGTCCTCACGCGCTGGCTGAGGCCTGTGTGACCAGCCTGTCTTCGTTAGAAACTGCTCTCTGGAAGGCTAAGAAATATATACTATTTGATTTAAGATTTGGCAGTTCAGAGAACTGCCCAGGCACCCTTTGCACAGCACATAAATCTCGCCTTCCTTGTGGAAAGGGTAATATTTTTCTCAAGCAAAAATTGTGCACCTCACCCTTCTGTAAAATCCTCTCCATTCCCTTGCTGTCATATTCTGGGACAGGAAGCATGGAAATGGGATGGTGAGGCTTCATAGCACAGCATCAAGGAATTCCAGGCTGATGAAATGAATTCAGGGCTGCTCATCGGAACTGGTCCACTAGAAAAATGGTCATTGCCCCCAAACCCCTTATTCTCAAGAAAAGGAAAGTGTTCTCAGTGGCTACCAGGTTTACCAAGCTGGATTCTAATGCTAATCGAATACTTGCTGGGAAATCAGAGAAAGAAGCGTTTTCCAGAACATCCAGCCCAATGGTGAGGTGTGGATGGCAGGCTGGGTTTGCATCACCTAGACGCGCACTTGCTGATCCCTCCCTCTTCCGCGGAGCTGAGAAGCCCCTTTGTAAGGGACATGGGGGCACCGAAGAGTGGCGGGGAATCTTCCTGTAGACTCCCGTTCTTTTGTCTCTCTTCCTGGAAATCTGTAACTTGTCAATGGCTTTGTTTTGAATTCTGAGATCCTGGAAATTGTGGATTTTTTTTTGTTTGTTTCTGGTTTTTGTTTTTGGCAGCATGAGACTGTTACAGTTTACCAGGAAGCAGTGCAAATGGAGGAGGTCATCTTTTTATTTTTATCTAAAAAAGAAACCAATAAAATCCAGGGTAACCAGGAAAAACTGCTAAAGATCTACCTATATTCTCTCTTTGTGTTTGTTGGTTTGTAAACATGGCAATTGACAGAGCTCTTAAAAGAGCTGATAACCTGGACCACGGTAGGCTGGAAAAAATATTTTTTTTTCTTTTTCTTTTTTACTGAAATAAACATGATGCAGTAATAAAATTGATATGCAAGACCTAAAACCAATTGGATGGCTGAAATTCTTACCTCAAAAAACAGCAGTATCGCTGTTGGGGACCTTCGGGGTTAAAAAAACAAAGAAAAGGAAGGTGGTCTAAATCGAACCCTTAGGACAGACCTTAGTGTACATAGTAAAGCCAATAAACGACGTTAAAAAGAGAAAAGGTGATGGGGAAAAACATTCGGGACCACTTGTCTATGGAATTCACATCAGTCAAGTCGGGGATTTTGACTTTGAGCTGGGAGGCGCGCCTGCGGATGCGCCCCTTGCTGGGCACCCCGTGCCGGTCCAGGGCGCGCCCATACCCCTCGCGGCTGCTCAGGGGCTTGCGGTACTGGATGCTGGCGCTGTCGTACGAGTACATGGTAGCCTTGGGGTCGCTCACGCTGGTGAGCACTTCTGAGCCGCTTGTCTCGTTCCTGATTTCCAGGGTGCTGAGGAGAATGTTGCCATGAGCGTCAACCTGGTGGCAGAATGGACATGGTCAGACACAACTGCTGGGACGCTCGTTTGCCATCATTACCTTGTTCCTGAAGACGTCTCATGTGGCTGATCAATCACTGCCTCGGTAGACGACCGGCTCTATGTGCCTCTCGGAGGACTTGGAGACTTCTCTCCTCTCCCTTCCTCTCTATCCCTCTCCTCCCCTCCATCCATCCCTCCACCCACCTATCATTCTTCCATTCATCTTGCTAGCAATAGAACTATCTAGCTATCATTTGTCTCCACTCACCAGACACTAGTGTGTAGTGTGGGTGTATGCAGTGATGTTTTTGTGTATGTATACATTTCCTTTTGTTATAAAACTGATACATGAAAACAAAGCCAGAAACAAACAAACAAACAAACAAAAAACAAAATAAAAAACCACTAAGACTTCATGGTCTAACCTTCAATCAATATCCTTCTCACCTTCTGTTTTTTCCCTCTTTGCATATACTTACAAACACAAGTGCATCCATATATTTTGCTTTGCAACCTGCTCCTGTCAGTTAAAATATAGCCTGGACAGCTTTCAATATTGATAAATATTCATTTGTGCTATCATTTACCATAGCTTACATGGATAAATCATAACAGAATTAACAACTGAGAGTTGTTAATGCTCACCTTTTTGGTAGTTTTTTTTTTTAAAGATTTATTTATTTATTTAAAAGGCAGGGTTACAGAGAGGGAGAGGCAGAGGCACAGAGAGAGAGAGAGAGAGAGAGGTCTTCCATCTGCTGATGCACTTCTCAAATGGCCGCAACCACCGGGGCTGAGCCAGGCTGAAGCCAGGAGCCAGGAGCTTCATCTGAACCTCCCATGTAGGTCCAGGGGTCCAAGCACTTGGGCCATCTTCTGCTGCTTTCCCAGGCACATTAGCAGGGAGCTGGATTGGAACTGGAGCAGCTGGGACTCAAACTGGTACCCATATAGGATGCCAACACTGCAATGGGGGGCTTTACCTACTATACCACAGTGCCAGCTTCTTTTTGTAGTACTATAAAGAAGTATGAAAGGGGCATCATTTTGTTTAATCTTGGTGCATAGTTATAATTATTTCTCCAGGCTAAATGTCCAGAAATGAGATTAATGGATCAAAAGATATGTCTGATTCGACTTTGACTTTGAATTCTGCCCTGTGTTCCTGCCATTCTAGTAACACCTACCCCAAATTTCCTGGGTCTTCCCTATGCTATGTCCACACACACTTTTAGAAGTACAGAAAATCTGAGCATATTTTTGGCCTACAATATTGCCATTTTAAACTTTAAACTGATTTTTTTTCAGACTGATTTACCTGGAAATCAGGAACATGGCTCATGAGTTGGAAGTACTTCCAAGGTCAGCACAGGTAGCTGTGTTTAAGACTTTTGTGATTTGCATAGTCCCTCACTTACAGTAAGTGTTCCATAAATGCTTTCAAATGAGATTAATTTTAGTACAACCTTGTTGAAAACACAAGATTGAGAAGTAAAAGAGCCCTGTAGGAGGAGGCAATGACAAACAGAGAAAGAAAAAAAGGAACAGAGATGGCACCAGATGGTGGTACACGCAGTCCAGTCTACAGGATTGATTTATTGAGTGTGTACAACATGCCTGTTATAATGGTAGATGCTTCATATATATTACTTGTTTAATACTTACAACAACCCTATTTCAAAAGGTAGACTATCCTATCTCTATTTTATAGATAAGGAAACAGACAGAATAGTTAGCAAACTGGTTCAAGTTTACTCAGTTAGCAGCTATTAAAATTAGCTGAGATTAGAATCCTCATCTGTCCGTTACAAAGCCCATGTACTTTCTACTGAGAGAGGACCACTTCACAGTCCCTGGCCTTCACCACTTCCAGCAATGAATTTAGTGATACGGTTGATAATGTTAAGCATCAGCTGGTTGCGGAGAGAAAGATGACCGAATCTGGCCACTACTCATCTCCCCATTCTTATCCATCATCATATCCCACTGTGAGGCATCTTTCTCCAGGCTAACTGGGCTTCCTTCCATCCCTGGACCCTGCACATTTCTTGTCTTCCTTATTTAGGAAGTTATTGTTATTTTTAATGTTATTAATAACACCATTTTTTTGAATCAAACTATGTAATTCATCTCAGTTATTTTTCATAACAATGCCAAGTTCAGCAGATGGGGAGATGGAAGCCCAGAGAAAGTAAGTAAACTGCCTAAGATTAAGCAAATCAGTACTTAATTTGGGATTTTTTATAAGATTTATTTATTTATTCCAAAGTCAGAGTTACACAGAGAGAGAAGAGGCAGAGAGAGGGACAGAGAGAGAGAGAGAGGTCAATTTGGGATTAAACACAAGACATTATGTCTCAAATGTCATTTCTCTCCCCTTGATATTAATCAAAGCAACATGTTTTCTACAAGGCTCAATTTAAGTCATACTTCTTCTGGGCATCTTTCCTCCTTTCCTGATTACAATAGCCTCAAGAACTTTATGTATCTTTTTCCAAACATTTATTGAGTTGTTATTGTGTCTCAGATATAGTGTTTACTGTGTGCCAGTGTTAGGTGTCAAGGATGAATGTTGAGCAAAACTAGTATGCTTAGTTTTATTTACTTATTTTTTTTTTTTTTTTTGACAGGCAGAGTGGACAGTGAGAGAGAGAGACAGAGAGAAAGGTCTTCCTTTTGCCGTTGGTTCACCCTCCAATGGCTGCCGCTGCAGCCGGCGCACCGCGCTGATCCTGGCAGGAGCCAGGAGCCAGGTGCTTTTTCCTGGTCTCCCATGGGGTGCAGGGCCCAAGCACCTGGGCCATCCTCCACTGCACTCCCTGGCCATAGCAGAGAGCTGGCCTGGAAGAGGGGCAACCGGGACAGAATCCGGCGCCCCAACCGGGACTAGAACCCGGTGTGCCGGCGCCGCAAGGTGGAGGATTAGCCTATTGAGCCACGGCGCCGGCTATTATTTACTTATTTTAAAAAATATTTATTTGAAAGACAGTGTTACAGAGAGAGGTAGAGACAGAATAAGAGAGGTCTTCCATTCACTGGTTCATTCCCCAAATGGCAGCAATGGTTGGAGCTGCGCAAATTTGAAGCCAGGAGCAAGGAGCCAGATCTCCGTGCTGGGTGCAGGGGCCCAAGCACTTGAGCCATCTTTCACTGCTTTTGGTTATGTATGTTGGTTCTGCTTTTATTGATTTATTTCTCTGGAGGATCCTGGCTGATAGAAAAGGTATGGCAAAAATAATAACCTAACAATACAAGTCCAGAAAACACTGATGTGATACCTATTTCTTTCCTCAATAGAAACCTCAAGCAAATGTACAAATTCATTTTCTAGCCTTTCTCTCACCTATTCTCATTCCCCTTCTCCTTTTCTGTGTTTCCAATAATCTTATAGAATGCCTTTGGCTATGAAAAATGCTGCCACACACTGAATTCAGCTGTTCTGAGTATATTCAATATATAAATATAGCCAGACTCATTGCAGGGTAATTGGAATAAAACATAATCTTGTTTCTAGTGGCACTTTTAAAGCCCTATTGAGGAACACCTCAGGCTCAATCTAGTTTGCAAAAAGTGATTTCCTTCTTGCTAGCCAATTCAATTAGATTCATGTTTACTGGGTGGTTCTGAGGTACAGAGCAGGAAGCCAGGTAAAGTGGTGCTGGTTGGAGAATGAGCTAGTTCACTGTCCTGGGGAAGCCTGCAGTCCATTTTTTAAAAAAGATTTATTTATTTATTTGAAAGTCAGAGTTACATAGAGAGGGAGAGAGAGAGAGAGGCAGAGAGGCAGAGAGAGAGAGAGATAGAGAGATCTTCCATCCGCTGGTTCACTCCCCAAATGGCTGCAATGGGCAGAGTCAAGCCAATCCGAAGCTAGGAGCCAGGAGCTTCTTCTGGGTTTCCCATGCAGATGCAGGGGCCCAAGGACCTGGGCCATCTTCTACTGCTTACCCAGGCCATAACAGAGAGCTGGATGGGAAGTGGAGCAGCTGGAACAGGAACTGGCACCCATATGGGATGCCGGTACTGCAGGTGTCGGCTTTATCCGCTACACCACAGCACCAGCCTACAGTCCATTTAATGCAGCTGTGTAGTATGGATGGCTACCTCCTCCAAGAGAACAGAGCATTATTATAGCCACAGCCTATTCCTTGCCCTTCCTCCACAGAAGGCAGTTGCTATTTGTCATTCGCTCTCACCTCACCTGGAGATGATAGGATTAAACAAAGTCTAGAGAAAATGGACCAAGTCAGATTTGGGCAAAGGTTTGCATGCTAATATAGTATACTATATTAGTAGAAATTCTATATTTATCTAGATTTTAAGATGCTAAATCAGTAGGTTAGTTTCATCAAGGGCAGTAAGTAAGTATCCACATTAGCCTGAAAAAGAGGCAGTTATGTGAGACTCAATATTGATAGGTATGGAGCTATTTCAAGCATGACTTTAGGATGGAACTGTTTATTTTTATGATGCCACCTACATATATATTTTATTTGCTTAAATTCATCATGGTGGGCTGGTGTTGTGGTGTAGTGGGTTAAGCCACTGCCTGCATCCCATAAGGGCACTGGTTTGAGTCCTGGCTGTTCCACTTCCGATATAGCTCCCTGCTCATGCACCTGGAAAAGCAGCGGAATAAGGTCCAAGTGTTTGAGCCCTTTCTCTCATGTAGGAGAGGGGAAGAATCACCTGGCTCCTGGCTTCGGCCTGGCTCAGCCTAGCTGTTCTGTCCATTTAGGGAGTGAACCAGCAGATGGAAGACCTCTTTCTCTCTCTCACTTTGTCTTTCAAATTAATAAAATGAATCTTTAAAAAAATAAACACATCCTTCACAGTACAGAGATGATTTGCACTTAGAAAATTGTCAGAAAGTGCTTGTATAACTCACTGTGGAGAACAGAAATGGGAGATAAGAGACCAGATCACACTAGCATTATCTTATTCCAAAGGGAGAAGTGCTATTCCTTGTCTGTTAGAATTGTCAACTGCATGTTGGGG